CGTTCATCCCCAGCTGAAGGGCGCCTACGTGGAGCCAGATCGCCTCGCCTTAGCCAATATTGAGTCTACAGACCCTATCGCTTAGCCATGTGTCGGGCTCCGATACCAACCTCACGCCTGGCGCGACTTCCTGATCGGAGTGGGATGGGGGCCTGGAAGTGCGAAGAGGGGTGTGCCAAGGATTTTTTGGAAAGTGGGGGTTGAAGTCCCAGGTCGGAACTGGGATCTTCTGTGGCCAAGTTCAGGGGTAGAGATGCAATACAGCACTAGGAAAATTTTACGGGCGCGGGCTTGCACGCTGGTTGTGCGGGGCCGTCCGATCCTGACTTGATCGCCAGTTCTGGGGAGCCTGTCGAGGCGGTCCTTGGGGCCCACGCCTTCGGGGTCTGCCACGTGGCGTGGGTTGGTGGGAACTATGCCTAGATGCCGAGGCTCCGGGGGTTCGGGTATGGGCACGTCGGCTGCAGCTTCTGCGCGGGGTGGAGGGCCAATAAGGCGCTATGGAATTCCACGGTACTACTGTAAGCTGATGATAGGGGAGGAGGAGGTGGTATGGTGGGAAATTAGTGGTGATAAGGACGAAGCCGGGGGTTATGAAATATTGCGTGTTGTACGTGTTTGGGTAGTCAGGTATCCGTGGGTCGCTTCGCACGGCGAGATGGAATTCCCTAGCGCAGAATCTATCGTTTCCCGTGAGGCAGGGGAACACCGGGTTTCTCAAATTTCCTCGTAATCGGAGTTGCTCTTCTTCCCCGATTTCCCAGTACCCGAAATACGACTCGTAATCCTCGGACCGCGGCGTGGGGGACATACCCAACTCCACGCATCGATCCGAACATGCAAACGCGGCTACCCAGCAAGGGAGGGGAGAGAGGAAGAAACGAGGCGGGAAGAATAAGAAGCAAGAAACAGAAAGATACAGTTACAAAAGTGTGTGCCCAAAATTACAGTTGCAAAAAAGGATTAAGGCGCCAATCAATCAAGGTCCTGGCGCAGCAGCAAGAAAGAGCGCGCGAACACGCAAAGCGGCGCCCCAAAAAAACAGAAATTCCAAAATTCCAAAATTTCTAGCTAGCCTGCCGATGAAAAGGTCCGAAAAAGAAAATCAAAATTCCGAAGGCCGTATGGCTCCGACCAAGATTCGAAACGAAAATTCAAGAAGGAAATTTAAAAAGAGACACCGAAATTCCCGTGCGATGTCTGCGCGCCCAAAAGTTCGACAAAACAAAATTAAAAGAAGGGAAACGAAAGAAAAGAAGCGACGTCAACGTTTATTAATCGCGCACTTCGCGCGCACTCCGCATCCATCCGACCAAGTTTCACCTCCTTTTCCCCGTGCATTCCCGAATTGTCCCCAACTGTCATCAGGGGCTCGTGTGCGAACGAAGAAACAACGAAGAAAGCAAGGACACACATGCAATTTTCCATCAACCCGTCCAATCGACGTGGGACCCCGCTTAGCACTTCGCGCAGAAAGTCGCGCATTACGGAAGCTAGTTCGTCACATAGGAGCAAGAGTAGTGTTGGGGAAGACCCACGATCCCACTTTCACCCTCATACATAGGAAAGGGAGGAGAGCGGGCGAGCCTGTATGAAGTCTTAGAGTGCTCGAGGTAAAAAGGGGAGAGACTCTTGGGGGTTTTGGATTTAGTATGCCTTGCTTTCTATATCCTCTCTGAGTCCCTTTTTGTTTTGTTTGGGGTTTTTGGCCTGGTGCAGTCTTTCTTTTTGGGATAAACCAGGACAACTCGGTTGGCCCGCGTCGCAGTTGTAGACTAATAAAGGGGGGAGGGAGGGTGGAGAGTGTCATTTGTTACAGGAACCGAAGGGTTCCGAACGGTCGCAGCAGAAGACCCGTTGCCAGGACAGATTTATTAGGCCTATGTAATTAGCATAGGTTGCTTTAGGTATAGAGGGAGGGGGATAGGAAGGGAGGGGTAAGAAGAGAGGAAGCGCTAATTCTATTGGCCAAAAAGAAGTATGAATGTAGAGTCTAAACTTAGGTGAGCAGAAGTGGCAAGAGGGAAGGAGTGGTTGGTTGATGGATTGGTCCATGGTTCCGCCAGACCGGGGGCTAGGTCCCACTTACACGAATTAAGCGATATTGCCCGTAGATAGCAGAGATCAACGGCTAGAATCTCTTAATCCGTGCAAGTGGAACCTTGGCCCGGAAGGTAAGCTGAATATTAAGGTTTTCTGTTGAGAGGTGTGCCACTCAAAGCTAAACCGGCTCATGCTGCCGGGAGAACTTCAGGGTTGAAGTGTGAGGTCCCCCGCCTCTCTCAAATATTCACTAGCAATTGAATTGAGTACCATGGAAGTTGATGAGTAAAACCAACTACTAATGAATTGCTTGGGGCCGGTCAGCTCAATGATAATATCTTAAGGCCGTCGCCCTTTTTAAAAAAAAAATAAAAAAAATGAGTACCATAGACTGTGGAAGATTGGTATATATAGTCAAACAGAGCTGCCCGGGGGCTAGGTCCCACTTTCACGAATTAAGCGATACTGACCGTAGATAGCAAAGATCAACGGACAGAATCTCTTAATCCGTGCAAGTGGGACCTTGCCCCGGTAAACCGTAGGCAGAGAGGAAGGGAGAAGAGAAGAGGGCAACAAACGAGGGGCTGTGGCAAACTATTTCGTCGGAGTTTCACCGAGTTATCAGAGAGGGAGAAGAGGACAACAACAAACGAGGAGGCTGAAAAATATGCCTAGATTGATATACGGGGAGAGTAGTACTTGAGGAGAGGAGAAGCCGCCCCGACTACTTGAGGACGTCGGCCCTGTGACAGAATGGCCTTCCAGACATATCTGGACGTTGAGCTGTCGTAGAGTGTACTTGAGGAGAGGAGAAGCCGCCCCGACTACTTGAGGACGTTGGGTTTCGTCTCGACAGCAGAGAGAGGCTGATAAATATACATATCTGGACGTTGAGCTGTCGTAGAGTGTACTTGAGGAGAGGAGAAGCCGCCCCGACTACTTGAGGACGTTGGGTTTCGTCTCGGCAGCAGAGAGAGGCTGAGAAATATACATATCTGGACGTTGAGCTTTGTTTTTTTGCTTTCTTTCTCTTCGTGACAGAGTGGTGTTATTGTCTATTGATGGTTCCTGCCTGTCTACAACCAAAGAACAATAAAAATGGTGAAGCAATCGGGGGGGGGGGCGTTCGGCTACCATCGGCATGTTCTCCTCTTCCCATCTATGGCGCTTACTGCTGTGCTTACGGCCCTTGTAGTAGTCTGCCTGCGCAGGCAGGCCACCGTCGTGCTGTGCAGTTTTGACGCAAACGGGTCTGCAGCGCAGGGATCGCAACTGCAGGTGCGCAACCCAGAGCATCCTGCCGCGTGCCCGTCCCGACCAGCGCCACCTAGCCGCAGGGGCTCGAAGGACCTGCTCTGGCTGCCCCGCCGGGATCGCTACCTGATGATGATGTGCGAGTACGGACGGATGAGCAATCGCCTGCGATGCATCATGGAGCACATGCTAGCTGCTGCATTGCTGAATCGAACTCTCGTCTTCTCGGTGTACAAGAGGGGTCTGCCGTTCGCGGACGTGCTGGACATTCCCCGCATCCGGAGATGTCTGGGTCCCGACGTGGCGATCAGTCTGGACGACTTCGCACGTGCGCGGAGGCGGCAGAACAAAACCGCCGACGTCGACGTTCACAAGCCGTTCTTGCATCCTTCCTACAACGAAACCAGAGTCGTTGATGCCTTCAGATCTACGACGGGGTTGGAGATCCGTCGATTCGAGCCCGGGGTTCCGCTGCCGCAGCAGGGGGAGGAGAGCTCCAAGCTCGGCGGCGATGGCGGCGATGGCGGCGATGGCGGCGGCGCCGCCGAGAGAAGAAGAGAGCAGTTGGTCAAGCAATTCGACCTCGCGGAGGAAGTGATAACGGTGGGCGAGCTTTATAGGATATGGCTGGGGGGGGAGGGAGAAAGGATGTTTAAGGGGGATGAACCGTGGGTGACCAAATGCACAGGCCCCATCCTTCGTCCGCATGCGAGCATTCTCGAGGCTGCCGTCAATTTCGTTCAGACCTTTCTTGGCTCCGCATTCGTCAGCGTGCATCTCCGAAGGGGTGATTTCCTCACCCATTGTCGTAACAAAGGACTGGGGTGTTTTCTGCCTGTGCCACAAGTGGCCGTCTGCATTCGCAATCAAGCTCCCCCCTTGTCATCGCCTTCTTCTTCTTCTTCTAAGACTTCTTCTTCTTCTTCTTCTCCTCCTCCTCCTCCTTCTCCTCCTCTAACGGCTTCTTCCTCTTCTTCGTCGTCTTCCTCTTCTTTCCCTTCTTCTTCTTCTTCTTCTTCTTCTTCTTCTTCGTCGTCGTCGTCGTCTTCTTCGATGGCTATGGGGATGGCTATCTTTCTAGCGACAGACGCTACCCGTCAAGAAGTCGAGGAGCTGAGCTTCTTGCTCCGCAATGGGGGAGAACACCCCCCCATCACATTGGTACGGGTTCCGCCCAATTTGGGGTCATTACTGGCTGTGGGGGGTGGAGAAGAGCTAGGAGAGTGGGTGACGCCGCTGACGCCCAAGCAGCGCTCGGACGACGAGACTGCAGCGATGTTAGATCGTGTGGTCTGTGCGATGTCAACGACCTTTTTCCACAGCCCCCACAGCACCTTCAGCATGGATGTGAGGCGCCTCCGCGTTGCACTGAATACAACTGGGTGCCGCGATGATGTTCTGTGTGGAAACCAGCCCGCTGATGTGGTCCGGGCCCCTTGGGAGAGCTGAAGAAAAGGAAAAAAGGGGAAAAAAAAAAGGAAAAAGAAAAAAGGAGAAAGGAAAAAGGAAAAAGAAAAAGGGAAAAAAAAAGAGGAAAAAAGCAAAAAAAGGGCATTGCGTTGGTGGTGAGCCGGAGAGAACCTGCTGATCGGCTTTCTTTTCTTCTTTTTTCTTTTTTCTTTTTTCTCTCCCCCCCCCCACCCCCTCCTGTTTCTTCTTGTTCTTCTTCTTTTTCTTGTTCTTCTTCTTCTTCGTCCTCTTCTTCTTCTTCTTATTCTTATTCTTATTCTTCTTCTTGTTGTTGTTCTTCTTGTTCGTCTTCTTCTTGTTGTTCTTGTTCTTGTTCTTGTTCTTGTTCTTCGGGGATAGATCATGGGTTGTGGAAACGAACAGAGAACGAATGCATCATGCCCAGAAATTGGTAAGATGCATTTATTGCTATTGACAGGAACGGATGCATCTTGCCATTCTCTGCGGGAAGATGCAATCGTACTTTTCTTTCCGTTTCGCCAGCGGTGTGGCGAGGCCCAGAGTATGTGGTCTTTATTGTACGTATTTGTGAAATTCTTTTTTTTTTTTTTTTGTTTGTTTAATTGTGGCCCGATGGACCACAGATCAGATATTAAACTGATCAGAACAGATACAGTGCACTTGGTCTTCGTCAAATAGTTGGACAGACAGACTGATTTTTTTTCCGGGTCAAGTTCAGATCCAATGAATGATCCCGTGTTTCTCGTCAAAGGGGGGAGGACGATTGCTGCTTCTGGTCTTTCCCACGATCATAAATCATGGCCATGTATCTGGCTCGAAAACTGTCCATAATACTGCATGTTATTTGGACCAACCCATGCGCTGAGTTGGCAGGATGGGGCAGGTAGGGAGAGGCGGAGGATCATGAAGTAGGAGCTACATAGCCCAGTAGTAGGTTCGTATACTTGTCCAACATGCTGCAGATCCTGGGCTCAAATCACATCGGAGAGGCGGAGGGAGAAGGGAGTAGCATATGTGGCCCCCCCAGTAGCCACCGTCGATACGTGCTATACGCACGTCAGATGCTTCTGCGACACGTGGCAATCACAGACAATGTCTTTTTTTCTTTTCTTTTCTTTTTTTTTGCAGATCAGTACTATTGAAAACAGAGGAGATCGGAATCGTACGGGACTCTGCAGCCAGATACGTCAATTTTTTACTATTTTTATTATTATTTTTTCTTAATGTATAAAGATACGTCAAAATACTGGCTGGCTTCACGGTGTTATTTTTACCTCGAAAAGAAGGGGAAAAAAACAGCTTGAGCGACGCTGGCTTGATTGATCATACTGTTAGAGTACACTCACACACTAGGCCCTCAAAATCACAAAAAAATCGCAAAAAATGAGCGGCCAGATCGAGTCGCTCGATTACAAGGGGACTCAATCTGGCCGCTCATTTTTTGCGATTTTGCTATTTTGAGGGCCTAGTGTGTGTGTGAGTATGCCCTTGGTGTTTTCTGCTTTGGTGGCTAGTGGAGGGGTGTCAGTGCACGACAGCCTCTGCTCGTGCTTGTCTTGTATGGGGGAGAGGTAAAAAGCCTCTGCTGGCTCCATGATGATTGGAGTGTCTGTTTCTCCTTCCCAACTTTGACTTTTTTTTCTGTTGTTGTCAACTTCCCTTTTCACATTGTGAACCAGGCTCGCTCCTTTTTTCTCTGTACTTTTTTCTCTGTTCTTTTTCTTTCTGGCTTTTTTTTTTTTTTTTTTTTTTTTTTTTTTTTTTTCCCTTTTTTTTTTTTTTTTTTTTTTTTTTTTTTTTTTTTTTTTTTCCCCCCCTCAAAGCTCGCTAGCATGGCTGTGTGGTTTCACGTGTTTTTTTTTCCCCTCAAACCTCGCCACCTTTTTGGCACTGGTTTCTTATGTTTTCAATATACTGAGTGCCAGCTTTCAGCGCGCACCTAAGTCTCCATGGCTTTCTTTATCGTGATTTTTACCATCTCCTGTCGAGTGATTCGTTTTTCCTTCTCTCTCGTCTGTTTCTTCTCCTCCTCCTAGTCCTTTCGCTCTTTGCTTTCCTTCCCATAGTCCGTCCCCACACTTATCAGGTTTGCCTTTGGCATGTACGCGTCGTTTTGACTGCGTTCCCCTATCTATCTACGAGAGTGGCCCAGGTCCACTTGCCCGCCCGGGCCAAAAAGATATTAAAAATGTATATATCTCTGCCTACGGTTTTACCGGGCAGTTCTGTTTGTGACGATATATATCTATATATTTTAATTTAAAATTTTATTTTAAATTTGGTAAAGAATTTCGATGTGACCCCGAGGCAAAAGTTGTTCAGTTTATTTTTCTGGATAACATAGTTTTTTTTTCGGATTTTAAATCTCTCTTTTTCCCTTTTTTTTTTTTTCTTTTTTTTTTGGCTGGGACCTCCCCTGGTCCTTGCACGGCCAGGCCGCCCGGGAAAATAGGGTGACCCGGGCGGCCCGGCTGGTAGCCTAGCTTGGCAGGCAGTAAATATGGTCTCCACAGTGGCCACGTCCCACTAGCGAAGAGGGGTGAATTCAGCGCCCGAAGCTGGACGCGTTTCCCTGGAGAGGTGCAGAAACAAAATCGCCATTTTTTAATGTGATTTTCTGCATCTCTCTCCACATATAAAACATGTCCAATCCTGTTTGCTAGCGCCACCTCTCTGGTGACTCTCTCAGGACCACAAAATATATCTGGTAAGCCGGGGGCAAGGTCCCACTTGCACGAATTAAGAGATCCTGGCCGTTGATCTTTGCTATCCACGGTCAGTATCTCTTAATTCGTGCAAGTGGGACCTAGCCCCGGGTAATGGCCCCGGTACCTCAATCTTTTTTTGGTGTATATTCATATGGGACGCTGGGCTGGGCCCGTTTCCCAGCAACGGGAATCTTATATTTTTTTTTTCCTTCTTTTTCAGGGGCCATGCTAATCTTCTCTCTATCGTTCCCATTTTAACGGATGTCCCGAAGGACTGAATCATAGATTTTTAAGAATATTCTTTTCTTCAATATTCTTTATTTTGAATAGATATATATTTTTTCTTATGAATCAATTGCCTTGGTTAAGTATTATTATATTATTTCCCAACTTTGCAGGATTTGTTATTCCATTACTTCCTACAGTAGTGGGGAAAATCAAACTGTAAGTCTGTGTAAGATGGTATACTTTAGGAATATGTCTGTTAACTTTTGTTTTTCTACAAGTCTAACGTGCTGCTCCTCCCAACGGATTGATCCAAGCTCTTTCCGAAAAAGGAAAAAAAAAAAAAAAAAAAAGAGTCACACGATTTCAGTTTCAAATCCAGTTCGCTCTTCCCTCGAATACAACACTTCCCCACCCTAAACCCTAAACCTCTGGGTTGTATACACATTCACGATTTCCTCCGTTTGATGCAACACTCGCGGATTCAAATCCTCGTCGTGACTGGATAATGCCAAAAACACTACTGCCCTGTAGTTTTTTTTTTTTTTTTTTTTTTTTTTGCTGGCCTGCAGTTTWTCGGGACTGGAACGCAATTTTTTTTTTTTTTTTTTTTTTTTTTCGATTTATGCGTGTCATCCTTGAAAGCGCAGGGGTCATGCTAATCTTCTCTGTWTYGTTCCAATGTTAACGGATGTCCCGAAGGACAGGAACGCAATTTCATACCGTAGTAGTTTTCCCAACCCAAAAACGGATAATGCCAAAAACACTGGCCTGCAGTTTATGGGGTGCATATTACGTAAATGCCCCCGATGACGTGGCAGCAGTCAATCTACCTACCACTACTCGTAAGCCTATACACAGGGGACCCCTGCAAGCATAGCTACCTAGTGGTGGGTGGTAGATAGATAGTGAACGGTGGAATTCAGAGAAGAAGAATATAGCTTAGTTAAAAAAACTATACATATATATTTTTAAAAGAAGAAGAAGAAGAAGAAGAAGAAGAAGAAGAAGTCAATCACACTCCAATTGCGTTCAGGCAGTGTGTTTCGGGACCTCGTCCGGCGCTTCGATCATCTTGTACCCCCACCTTCCCTCTTTTTTTTTCCAGAGGGGGAAGGGGTGGTGCAATTGCTCCATTCTATATGTGGGGAGCTCCACCTACCCCTCCCTCGGGTCCCCCAAGAACGAAAGATTATACTTGTGGGGGGCTTCACCTACCCCTCCTCTCTTCCCCTTGAACACACTGCCCCCAGCACCACGACTGTGTTTCGACCGGAACAAGGGCTTGTTGCATACGTGAATGTGACGGGGCGTTACCCGTTTGAAGAAGATAGTCTTGCTTGCGGGGGTCTACTACTTAGAGATGTGCCAACTGCTCGGATCCGCACACCGGGCTGATTGCTCTTGCTTGCGGCTATGTATGAGATGTGCGCACTACGCTATTCCCGGATTCAGGCAGCTTGAACATGCATGGCCACCAGCCATGGTGACAGGGTGACACTGTTGCTGCTGCTGCCGCTGCCGATGATGATGATGATGATGATGATGATGATGATGATGATGATGATGATGATCTGTTTGCCACAGTCATCATCACACGTTTTACTATTTTCGTCGTCATCATGACCATCATCATCATCATCTTTAAGTCACTGTCACAATCACACGTCGTCGTTTTTTTTTTTTCTTCAATAATGACGTGTGATGATGACAGTGACACAGAAAGATGATGATGATGATGATGATGATGATGATGTTGTCGACGATGACGATGAGGATTATGATTATAATGATGATGGTGGTGATGATGATGATGATGATATCCTTGAACATCGTGGAATGTTCGTCGAATTTTCGTGGAATTGTTCGTAGAATGTTCGTGGCATGTGCGTGGAATGTTCGTGGAATGTTCGTGCTGCTGCTGCTGCTGATGGGTGGGGATAAGAAAAAAATGAACGGTTGATGATGATGATGATGATGATGATGAATAATGATGTGTGATGACTACACGTAGTGTAGCAAAAGAGATTCAGCCAAGGGCAGTCCCCACCCCCCCGGGCCCCCAACTGCTCAACGTAAGCGTGGTCAAGCGTAGTAGCTGACAGCGTTGTCCAAAGCTTGTGTTGGTCTTTTTGTCTTTTTTTCTTACTTCTGTTTTTGAAAGGTCGACGGCCTTGAGATATATCATCTTCTAACTTACCGGACCTACGCAAAACTCAGAAGTATTAAAAAAAAAAAAAAAAAAAAAAAACCCTCAGAATTGTAGTATCTTGATTTCACTCATCTGCTGCTTCCAGTGGAGTTCGAACTCCACTCTTGTCTGTGTTTTCACACTTCAGTACAGGGGTGTACCAACTGAGCTAGGCCAGTTAGTACAAGCATACACTCGCCTTTTTTTTTTCTTCTTTTTTAAAGTCATTTTGCAAGCGCACTATCCCACCCAGTTGTTGTGAGAGAACTGCCGGAAGTGAGGGCTTGGCTGTCAGACTGCTCCATCTAGTATCGGTGGAATGGGCATTGGGCAGCACCACCTGCTCCATCTATTATTGGTGGGATGGGAAGCAACACCCTGCCGCAATGGGGCTACATCTTTCCTTAGTACATCAAGCATACACTCACCTACTTTGGTGGCCTGGATCCTGAAGTCGGGAAACATCTTCTCACAATGGCTGCGTGCCCAGCTCAGTGGGCGTACTATTCTTTCCCCTTTTACTAAAGAATACCGTGGGCTGAGCACACGTAAACAGCTAACGTGAATTTTTCACAGGCCTACCAGACTAGTTAAAAAAAAAAAAGAAAAAAAAAAAAG